CTGATCTCAGGTGATCCTCTCTGCCCCAGCCCCCCTCCAAAGTTGGTGGGATTACAGGCTGGAAGCCCACCACGCCTGGCCGCAAAAGTTTTTAAGTTTGATAAATACATGCCTTTTGTGGAGACTTGGTGGCCTGGGAAAAAATTTTTTTTTTTTTTTATAAATATAAAGACGAGATACAAAATACACATAGATACACACAGGCCTGGAAGTGCAGATAAGCCACCAATCCCGCTCACTGCCAAGCGTCCCCCTCCCTTCGGTTCACGCCATTCAACACCGCCTCACCTACCCAAGTAGCCCCTGAGGACACAGGTGCCCGCCACCTCGGCCCAGGCTAGTTTATTGTAATTTTTAGTAGAAACCGGGGGTTCAACCATGTTAGCCAGGATGTCTCCGATCTCCTTAGACCCTCCGTGGATCCGCGCCGTCCTCGCTCCAAGTGCTGGGATACAAAGCTTGAGCCACCTGTGCCGGCCCATTTTTTTTTTTAAATTTAAGATGGATATCCCTTGCTCTGCACCCATCACGGCCTGGAGTGCGGGTGGTTTGATTCCTTGGGCTCAGCAACGTGTTCTTGCCTCTTGGGTTCCCACGCCGATTCTCCCTGCCTCAGCCGTCCTGGTAGGTGGGGATACAAAACATCGCCCACACACCTGGGCTAATTTTTTTTTTTTTTTTTTTGAGACCAAGGTCTCACCCTGTTTGCCAGGCTGGAAGCAGTGGCATGAGCCTCAGTGAGTTTTGGTTTTAGTTATCTATATTCATCATTTAGAATTGATAAGACCCCTTGTAAAATCCAGTTTTTGGTTTTTGTTCTCCTGCTAAGCACGGAATCACGAACAAACCTACACTTTTCATAGATAAAACATTCAAAGGTTAAACTTTTGCCAAGGCCTGCTTTTTTTTTTTTTTTTTTTTTTTTTGAGACCAAGTCTCACTCTGTTGCCCAGGCTGGAATGCAGTGGCATGAGCTCATGAGTTTTTGTTTTAGTTATCTATGATTCATCATTTAGATTGATAAGACCCCTTGTAAAATCCAGTTTTTTGGTTTTTGTTTCTGCTGCAGGAATCAGAACAAAACTCACTTTCTAGATAACATCAAAGGTTAAACTTTGTGCATAGGCTTTTTTTTTCAAGGATATGCAGCCTCAGGACTGTTAATGTTAACTTTTTCTGCACAGGAATTTGGAGGACTTTTATGGCAGGTGCTGTACTCCCACTTTACAAACAAACATTGGGGCAGCCCAGGCAGCACACCTTTCTGGATTTACCAAAAATACACATTTTCCTATTCTACTGTTGCTTTACCACATGGTTCAGTTGTAGCCTCAGAATTACTTTATAGAAGAAACTGAGTGTAGACAGAGAGTATGAGGTCTGATGGTCATGGAATAATTGTTTTGAGTCCACAGCATCATGGGAACTTCTTGGGAATAGAGTCTAGGCTCCCAGTGCTGTTAGTCTTACCCATCCTCCTCTATGCATGTGAGATGTTTCAGGATTCAGTGGCCTTTGAGGATGTGGCTGTGACCTTCACCCAAGAGGAATGGGCTTTGCTGGATCCTTCCCAGAAAACTCTCTATAGAGATGTGATGCAAGAAACCTTCAGGAACCTGGCCTCTGTAGGTAAGGGTGACAATATTAGTTCCCTCAGTAAATGAGAGAACAAGTATTTTTAGTTCATGTATGCTGCTGAGTGATTTACAGTGTGGATAGGGAATATCTGACAAATAAAGGAAGCATGCTTGCAGTGTACCATGAACATAGAATCAAGTAATTTTAAAAATAATTTTATACTAATTCAAGATTATTTTCCTTGTTCTGTGTTGTAGGGAAAAAATGGAAAGCCCAGAACATATATGTAGAGTACGAAAATCTAAAGAGAAACCTAAGGTAACTTGCACCAGTAACAAGACAAAGAAGTGTCTCTTTAGAAAATCTTAGAATGGGAGAAAATGTTTTAAAAAAAAAAAAAAGGAAACAAAATAAGCACAATTTCAACCTATTTATTCTTAGAATATTTTCTCTGAACACATATTGAAGGGTGATCTAGGCTTGACACAATGGCTCAGGCCTATATTTCAGCCCTTTGGGAGGTTCAGGCTGGAGGATCACTTGAGCCCAGGAGTTTGAGGCCATACTAAGCCACAATGGCATCACTGCACCCCTGCCTGGGCAAGAGTGTGAGACCCTGACTCAAAAACAAATTTAAAAAGAGAGATATTTAGTATTTGTAAAATAGTTTACTTTAAAATAGTATTCAGAGAGGCCGGGTGCGGTGGCTTATGCCTGTAATCCCAGCACTTTGGAAGGCCGAGGAGGGCGGATCACTTGAGGTCAGGAGTTCAAAAGCAGCCTGGCCAACATAGTGAAACCCTGTCTCTACTTAAAAATATAAAAATTAGCTGGGCATCATGGTGGACACCTGTTATCTCAGCTACCTGGGAGGCTGAGGCAGGAGAATTGCTTGAACCCAGGAGGGCGAGGTTGCAGTGAGCCAAGTTTGCCCCACTGCATTCCAGCCTGGATGAGAGAGTGAGTCTCCATCTCAAAGAAGAAAAAAGAAAGAAAGAAAACAAAAGAAAACAGAATTCAGAAGCCTTCTATCATCTTTTTTGATAATAGATATAGCTGGGCCATCTTGTAGAGCCTGTGGTCCATTCAAATTCAGACAGGGCAGAAATCCCACAGTTTGCAGGATGATGTTAAAAATGGAAGTGCAGGCCAGGCACGGTGGCTCACGCCTGTAATCCAAGCATTTTGGGAAACCAAAGCAGGTGGATCACCTGAGGTCAGGAGTTTGAGACCAGTCTGGCCAACATGGTGAAACCCTGTCTCTACTAAAAATACAAAAATTAATGTAATCTCAGCACTTTGGGAGGCTGAGGCGGGTGGATTACCTGAGCTCAGGAGTTTAAGACCATGCTGGGCAACATGGTGAAACCCTGTCTCTACTAAAATACAAAAAATTAGCTGGGTGTGGTGTCATACGCCTGTAGTCCCAGCTACTTAGGAGGCTGAGGCAGAAAAATTGCTTTAACTCAGGAGGTGGAAGTTGCAGTGAGCCAAGATCACACCACTACACTCCAGCCTGGGCAAAAGAGTGAGACTCCATCTCAAAAAAAAAGGAAAAAATGGGCCGGGCGCGGTGGCTCAAGCCTGTAATCCCAGCACTTTGGGAGGCCGAGACGGGCGGATCACGAGGTCAGGAGATCGAGACCATCCTGGTTAATATGGTGAAACCCCGTCTCTACTAAAAAGTACAAAAAAACTAGCCGGGCAAGGTGGCGGGCGCCTGTGGTCCCAGCTACTCGGGAGGCTGAGGCAGGAGAATGGCGTGAACCCGGGAGGCGGAGCTTGTAGTGAGCTGAGATCTGGCCACTGCACTCCAGCCTGGGCGACAGAGCGAAACTCCGTCTCAAAAAAAAAGAAAAAAAAAAAGAAAAAATGTAAGTGCAATACTTGTGAATGAATATAAAATCACTGATAAGCAGACCCATTACAATGTACTTCTCATTGTTCACAGAACTTTTGTGGGAGAGAGACTCTTTGAAAGTAAAGAAGGTCATCAGCATGGAGAAATTTTGACCCTGGTTCCAGATGACATGCTGAAGAAGAAAACAACTACTGGAGTAAAATCGTGCAGAAGCAGTGTGTATGGAAAAGTAGGCAGTGCTCATTCATCTCTTAATAGGCCCATCAGAGATGACACTGGACACAAGGCATATGAGTATCAAGAATATGGACAGAAACCATACAAATGTAAATACTGTAAAAAACCTTTCAACTGTCTCACCTCTGTTCAGACACACGAAAGGGCTCATAGTGGAAGGAAACTCTATGTTTGTGAGGAATGCAGAAGAACATTTATTTCCCATTCAAGCCTTCAAAGACACATGATAATGCACAGTGGAGATGGGCCTTATAAGTGTAAATTTTGTGGGAAAGCTTTGATGTTTCTCAGTTTGTATCTTATCCACAAACGGACTCACACTGGAGAGAAACCATATGAATGTAAACAGTGTGGGAAAGCCTTTAGTCATTCTAGTAGCCTTCGAATACATGAAAGAACTCACACTGGGGAAAAGCCTTATGAATGTAATGAATGTGGGAAAGCATTCCACAGTTCCACATGCCTCCATGCTCATAAAAGAACTCACACTGGGGAGAAGCCATATGAATGTAAACAGTGTGGGAAAGCCTTCAGCTCTTTCCATTCCTTTCAAATACATGAAAGAACTCACACTGGGGAGAAGCCATATGAATGTAAGGAATGTGGAAAAGCCTTCAAGTGTCCCAGTTCTGTTCGAAGACACGAAAGAACCCACTCTAGGAAAAAACCCTATGAATGTAAACATTGTGGGAAAGTATTATCTTATCTTACCAGCTTTCAGAACCACCTGGGAATGCACACTGGAGAGATATCTCATAAATGTAAGATATGTGGCAAAGCCTTTTATTCTCCCAGTTCACTTCAAACACATGAAAAAACTCACACTGGAGAGAAACCATACAAATGCAACCAATGTGGTAAAGCCTTTAATTCTTCCAGTTCCTTTCGGTATCATGAAAGGACTCACACTGGAGAGAAACCTTATGAGTGTAAGCAGTGTGGGAAAGCCTTCAGATCTGCCTCACTCCTTCAAACGCATGGTAGGACTCACACGGGAGAGAAACCCTATGCATGTAAGGAATGTGGAAAACCATTTAGTAATTTCTCTTTCTTTCAAATACATGAAAGGATGCACAGAGAAGAGAAGCCATATGAATGTAAGGGTTATGGGAAAGCATTCGGTTTGCCCAGTTTATTTCATAGACATGAAAGGACTCACACTGGAAGGAAAACCTATGAATGCAAGCAGTGTGGCAGATCCTTCAATTGTTCGAGTTCCTTTCGATATCATGGAAGGACTCACACTGGAGAAAAACCCTATGAATGCAAGCAATGTGGAAAAGCCTTCAGATCTGCCTCACAGCTTCAAATCCACGGAAGGACTCACACTGGAGAGAAACCTTATGAATGTAAGCAGTGTGGGAAAGCCTTTGGATCTGCCTCACACCTTCAAATGCATGGAAGGACTCACACTGGAGAGAAACCCTATGAATGTAAGCAGTGTGGGAAATCTTTTGGATGTGCCTCGCGACTTCAAATGCATGGAAGGACTCACACTGGAGAGAAACCGTATAAATGTAAGCAATGTGGGAAAGCTTTTGGATGTCCCTCAAACCTTCGAAGGCATGGAAGGACTCACACTGGAGAGAAACCGTATAAATGTAAGCAATGTGGGAAAGACTTTAGATGTTCTTCACAACTTCAAGTGCATGGAAGGACTCACTGCATAGACACCCATAACCCCAGGCTTTAGGAGGCTGAGGTGGGAGGACTGCTTAAGCCTAGGAGTTCAAGACCAGCCTGGGCAAAATGGTGAGACTCTATTATAAAAATTAGATAAATAAAAAGACTTCCAGTTGGTGATAATGGCAGTTGAGAAATCCATGGCTGGGAGACAATGGCATCTCCTGGGCAGGGCAGATAAGTGACAGAGGGAGAATGGGTGGGCAGGGGGCTACTGGAACAAAATGGTGGTCTGGGTCCCACAGCAGCAATGACTTTCAAGGCCAGGGAGAGGTGGGAAAAGGTGAGGGCTCCCAGGATGCAATGCCAGAGACATGGTGATGTCCTTAGGTCCAGGACTGCTGGGGGCAGTGGCACCTGAGGGAGGTAGGTGTGGAAGGGCATCCTTGTGTGGACTGGGGAGGGAGCATGAAGGAGCACAGGGTAAAGTTCAAATCATGGTTGAGGCCAGTTCAAGCTAAGGGTAAAAGTGCCTGGGGGAGGGCATGAGAGTCAAGTCAGGTTTGGGCGACAGGGCAGAGAGTTTCTAAGTTCTATGTGTCTGCTGAGGGATCCAGCATGACTGGGTCCAGTCAGGGAGTTAGGGGCATTCAGAGTGAAGGGTTGGATCCTGGACATTTGTGCAGGCCAGGAGGGAAGAGGAAAGTGGTAGCAGGGAGCATAGAGTCCATGGGTATTGGGTGTGTGTCCTGTCAACTTCACTGAGGTTGACATTCTCCTGAGGCAGGAGAATGGCGTGAACCCGGGAGGTGGAGCTTGCAGTGAGCCAAGATCGCATAACTGCACTCCAGCCTGGGTGACAGAGCAAGACTCCGTCTCAAAAAAAAAAAAAAAAAAGAATTATACAACTAAAAATAAAGGGCCAGATGTGGTGGCTTACACCTGTTATCCAAACACTTTGGGAGGCCAAGGCATTTTTTTTTAGTAGAGACGAGGTTACACTGTGTTAGCCAAGATGGTCTAGATCTCCTGACCTCGTGATCCACCTGCCTTGGCCTCCCAAAGTGCTGGGATTACAGGTGTGAGCCACCGCGCCCACCCTTAGCTGTTTATTTTAAAGTGTTGGGATTACAGGTGTGAGCCACCGTGCCTGGCCAGAAAGTGACATTGTTTACTTGCCACAGGTCAAGAACCCTCTACAGATAACGTGTAGGTAAGTTATGAGGCCAGTTTTCCCGAGGGCTCTTATTAGTTCCTTCTTATAAACTTATAAGTCAACTTTGCTTCTTTAAGGAAAGCATGCCATTCCAGACAAAGCCTTGGTAAAATAACCAGTTTTTCCAGTTGTGTCCTGTTACAATGGAAAATAGATTCTTACTGCACTTATGCAAATAACTATACTGCCGTAAGTTGAGAATAATCACAAGGTTTTTTTTTTTAAATTCTGGAGAAATCCAGTACAGGTAAAGCAATATGCTCAAAATTTTTTGCTTCCAGGAGTATACTTTATTCAATTGCTAAATGTTCTAAATAGCTCAAAAGAAAAGGTTTTCTTGACACTAAAAAAAAAAAAAAAAAAAAAAAAAAAAAAATTTGCAATATTTAACACATCAGCTCTTTTTGACAGTCCTGGAAGTTTATGTTTTTTTTCCCCTCTATTCCAATAGCACAATTTCTAAAGTTATTAAATACCTGCATTCAAGAGTACATGTCAGAATCCTATATCTGATTATAAACTGCTTTTTGGAAAGGATCAAAACAAGACAATTGTCTATGGATGACAAAAGTCTGAAGACAGCTATTATTAGAGTCACAATTGACTATGAATTTTGGTTACATGTGTGGCATACAACAATTTTACATAACATATATATACTAAGTCATATCAGAATCGTGAGTTTCCCATAACTTTGGAACATACACCAATAACATTTATACAAATACAGCCCAAAGAAAGGCAAATACCATTTCATAATTGACAATGCTTCCTGTATGACTTTTATACCAAATAAGCCAAATGTGTCATTTTTGGACATCAGGGGACTTAATATCTAAAAGATTTTGGAAAGTTTGTCAAATATTAAAGGTTTAAAGCACTGGATATCATAAAATACGATCATGGGTTATTCATTTAGTCAAAGTGGTAACTCAAAACTTTTTTAAAAAGGTAAAACCCTTTACTCTGAAGAAGATTCAGCTTTCCAAGCAAGACCAAATGACGATAGCATGAGGCCAACTGAATCTGTCTCCTCTCTCTTCTTTTTTTGTAGTTTACTCAAAAGGCAAACAAAAATCTTTTATTTTACTTATTTATTTTTGTTTTGTGACACTGTCTTGCTCTGTCACCCAGGCTAAAGTGCAGTAATGCGATCTCAGCTCACTGCAACCTCCGCCTCCTGGATGAAAGTGATTTTCCTGCCTCAGGCTCCTGAGCAGCTGGGATTAAAGGTGTGTGTCACCATGCCTGCCTAAGTTTTGTATTTTTAGTAGAGGCAGGGTTTCATCATGTTGGCCAGGCTGGTCTCAAACTCCTGATTTCAAGTGATCCACCCGCCTCAGCCCCCCAAAGTGATGGGATTACAGGCAGGAGCCACCATGCCCAGCCTTTTTATTATCTCTTAATATTATATTTTTCAAAACAAAATCAAATTTTATTTATGCATTAGTGCAGTTTTTTTTTTTTTTTTTTTTTTTTTTGAGATGGAGTCTCTCTCTGTCGCCCAGGCTAGAGTGCAGTGGTGCAATCTTGGCTCGCTGCAACCTCAATACTCCTGGTTTTGCAATACTCCTGCCTCAACCTCCCGAGTAGCTGGGATTATAGGCTCGTTCCACGACACCCGGCTAATTTTTTCTAGTTTTAGTAGAGACGGGGTTTCACTGTGTTAGCCAGGATGATCTTGATCTCCTGACCTCGTGATCCGCCCGCCTCGGCCTCCCAAAGTGCTGGAATTACAGGTGCAGGTGTGAGCTACTGCGCCCAACCATTTTTTTTTTCTTTTTTTTTTAAAGATGGAGTCCCACTCTGTCACCTGGGCTGGAGTATAGTGGCATAATCTTGGTTCACTGCAACCTCCACCCCCCGAGCTCAAGCAATCCTCTCACCTCAGCCTCCCAAGTAGTTGGGACCACAGATGTGTCACCACACCCAGCTAAGTTTCTGAATTTTTGGTAGAGACAGGGTTTCACCATTTTGCCTGGGCAGGTGTCAAACTCCTGAGCTCAAGTGATCCACCTGACTTGGCCTCCCAAAGTGCTGGGATTACAAGCATAAGCCACCACACCCAGCCCATTAGTGTATCTTTAATGCTAAAGCTAGTTTTAAACAAAATTTTATAAATCTATCCAGTTCTAATTTGTTTGACCATAAGGTAAGATTTTCATAAACTTTTTATAATTTTTGCCTTGTTAAAGAACAAATCAATATTCCAGAAACCCTACTATTTTGACATATGGGCTGAGATTCTGGCCCTGTATCAGTGTGCTTTTAATATTTAATTTATGGAAGAGCTAAATATCCTTTTAGTTTTAGTTAAGTTGCTCACACACAGAATTGTTTACAAATTTATTATTTTTTTTTTGAGATGGAGTCTTACTCTGTCTCCCAGGCCGGAGTGCACTGGCGCGATCTGGGCTCACTGCAACCTCCACCTCCAGGGTTCAAGCAATTATCCTGCCTCAGCCTCCTGAGTAGCTGGGACTACAGGTGCACGCCAACACGCCCGGCTAATTTTTTGTATGTTTAATAGAGATGGGGTTTCATCATGTTGGCCAAGCTGGTCTTGAACTCCTGACCTCATGATCCACCTGCCTTGGCCTCCCAAAATGCTGAGATTATGGGCATGAGCCACCGCACCTGGCCTACAAATTTAATTTTTTATAAACTTTACCACATGCTTAAACTTTCAGTTTTATCCTAATTTTTTACTCCTTTAATCTAGGCCAAAGAAAAAAAGGAAAATCTACATTCCCATGCGTTATAATCTTTTACCAAAAACATATTTCACTTTCCTTACACATCCTGCATATGAAACTGTTTTTTCAGTAGACTCAATTACATGTTACAGTGTTAACTCTTAGCAACTTTTATTTTTGTTGAAAAACTTGGCAAGTAAGCGATTTTAATTATGTACTAGGTGTGAAGCCTACGAACCTTTGTGAGAAGCAGTATTGTGGTAGAAAAACTTAAATTGTAATTGACGAACTGCTGAAGGCTGAATGGGGACAAGGTTCAGAGGTAAAACCTCTAGGGAGCTCAGTCTTAACAAAAAGCAAATGTTTAGCAAAATTTAAAACTTTTGCCCATGAGAGGCACTAAAGAGGGAAAAGGCACCCTACCGAAATGGGAAAGTTTCCCTCATCCCCTTAGCAGGTGTGTGATGGGGGTGTGACTTGCTTCTACAGTGCCCTGTTGCTCAAACCTCTAGGGAAGCATACAGATGGGTAGGCTGTGAGGCTCTGACCCCACAGCAGTGTCGAGTGGTGAATGTTTCCAGCTCCTGAAGCCCCAGTGGGTGTGTGTTACAGGGTGCTCTCTTAGTCTGCCTGGAGGCAGCTTGTGTTCATGAGCTCAGTGAGACCCTCTACCTTGTTGCAAGGACAGAGGGCTTTCTGTATCCCGGGTTCTTGCCTTAGTGAACCGGAAGAATCAGATCACACATGGGCGTGGAGAATGAGCGAAAAGTTTTATTGAGTGGAAGTGATGGGGGAGCCAGAAGCGAGAGGCTCTTCCCGGGAGTTGGGCTGCTTGATGGCCCCAGCTCGGCCAAACTCTGCCTTGTCCCGCCAGTCCTGCCAGTTGATGGGCTGCCTCGTCCACCAGTTGATGGCCTGCTGGCGTGCCAGTGCCTGTCAGTGTACTCTTCTGCTGGCGTGCTCCTCTTGACAACCAGCTGCTTGTGTGTCTGCCCACTAGGGTCTGGGGTTTTTATAGGCCCAGGATGGGGCATGGTGGGCCAGGGTGGTCTTGGGAAATGCAACATTTGGGCAGGAAATGACTGTCCTCACCTAGGTCTGTCGGGGTAGAGCCCTAGCCAGGGATCACACCCTCCTCTACCCAGCACTTTCCTTACCCTCTTCCGTATTATTTAAAGGGATCACGCTCTTCCCTTCCCGAAACGTCTGTATCGCCA